CACAAAAGGAGAAGATAGCGATATTTTAAGTGGATCTCTCAATGTGATCATGCATTTCATCAACTTAAACAAGCCTTAATATTCGCACCAGCTTTAGGCTTGCCAAAGTTAAACTGTTTTACCTTTCAGTAGACAGGGGAAAAGGAGATCGCAACTGGCGTTTTAACTCAGAAATTAGGCAGCTGGGAGTGGCCTGTGGCATATTTTTCTAAACAATTAGATCGTGTCGCTCTTGGATGGCCAGCCTGTCTGAGGGCTGCTGCTGCTATAGCACTGCTAATTGTTGAGTCAGAGAAGCTCACTTTTAGAAAGGACTTAGAAGTGAGAGTGAAGTTAAAGAAGTTAAAGAGCTTTTACAGATTAAATGCAGCCATTGGCTCACCACCAACTGTTTAACAAAATAACAAGCTATTTTTTCTGCCTCTCCAAATGTCAGACTTGTGACTGTTAATAAACTTAATCCAGCTTCTTTGATGCCTGCAGATGATTTATCTGACGATTTTCCTCATGATTGTTTGCAAGTTCTTGATGTGGTCTATTCCAGTAGACCAGATTTGACAGATCAACCTTTACAAAATGCTGAATTGGAACTGTTCATTGATGGCAGTAGTTATGTTTTGGATGGCCAGCAAAGAACTGGGTATGCTGTTGTCACTCTTTTTTTTAATACGCAGGAAGCACTGCCTATTAATACATCAGCTCAAAAGGCAGAACTCGTTGCTTTAAATCTGCTTTGAAATTGGCAAAAGGGAAAATGATCAATATTTCCTTGGATAGCCTTTGGTGTTGTACATTCCCATGGAGCCCTGTAGCAGGAAAAAGGTTTAATTATAGCCAAAGGTAGTTAGATTAAATATGAAGAAATATTGCAGAGCAGGTCGCAGCCAGGAGGGCCTTCGTGCAAGTTGTGCGCCAGTTACGCCCTTTCCTGGACCTGCAATCCGTACCAACAGTCACTCATGCCTCAGTTATTTCCCGTCTTGACTATTACAACACGCTCTACATGGGGCTGCCCTACAAGAGCATCCGGAAGCTCCAGTTGGTGCAAAATGCAGCAGCCTGCATGGTTTTGTGCAGACCCCAGTGTGCACATGTATCACCTCTCCTGCAGGAGCTGCATTGGCTGCTGATTTGCTTCCAGGTGCAATTCAAGGTGCTGGTTGTCACCTTTAAAGCCCTTCATGGCTTGGGACCAGGTTATCTGAGGGTCTGTCTCTTGCCAGTCACATCTACTCAATCCATCAGAGCGGGGAGGCAGGGAATGCTGTGGGTCCCATCCCTGAGGGAGATACATCTGGTGGGACCCAGAAGAAGGGCCTTCTCTGTGGTGGATTTTAATCTGATTTTCTCTCTTTTAAAGTGATGTTCAGATTAGCTTTTAACATTTCTAAACTGATGAACAAGCTGGAGACTAACTCCAGATAAGTAAAGTTGGTCAGTACAACTTGGGATCTGGCTTATCTCTTTTGTGAATTCTAAACAACCTTTTTCCTTACAATTTATAACCCTTCAGACCTCAGACCTCATTTTAATGAGCATGTATGCTATTATCCTGTCCAATCAATTTTCCTCTTTCAGAGTTCTTTGTTATGTTAACTATAAAACAGGATAAAAGCTAAAGATTGGGATTCCCTAGCAGGCATTACGGAGACCTGGTTGGGCCAGGAGGGGGGAGTTCCCCTCGTGGATATGTGCCCACCAGGCTTCGTGCATTTCATCAGCCGAGGGCTCAGGGTAGGGGCGGGGGGGGTGGCAGTTATCATAAAGGAAGGTCTGGATCCGAGGGAGACCACTGTTCCACAGATAGCCAGATGTGAGTGCCTTTTTGTGAAGTGGGGCCGTGGAGTACAGATGGGCTTGTTGATCACGTACCTGGCTCCCTGCCACGTGGCAACGGCCCTGCCCGAGCTGCTCAACGTCATAGCCAAGGTGGCGGTTGATACCCTCAGACTTGTAGTCATGGGGGATTTCAACCTGCCATCCATCGGCGAAACGTCTGAGGTGGCTTGAGAGTTCATGGCTTCCATGATGGCCTTGGACCTTACTCAGTTAATTCATGACCCCACTCACACGGGTGGACACACTCTGGACTTAGTTTTTGTCTCTGGTCAGTGATTGAGTGGCCTTGATACAGGGGATATAGTCATTGAACCCTTGTCATGGTCTGACCACTCACTCCTTCGACTGGAGGACCGACCAGGTGGTTTCGTCCCAGGCGCCTGATGGATCCTGATAGGTTCCAGATGGAGCTTGGGCCATTCCCTGAGACTCTGGCTCATGACTCGGCTGAAGACCTGGTGGCCGCCTGGGATAGTACGGCCACCGGGGCCTTGGACCGCATCGTGCCTTTGCGGCCTCTGACCCGGCACTGAACTCACCTAGCTCCTTGGTTCTCCGAGGATCTGAGGGAGATGAAGCGCTGGAAAAGACGCCTAGAGAGCAGTTGGAGGACCAGCCGCTCCGAATCCGACCGAACACTGGTGAGGTCTCATATTAAGACCTACCTAGTGGCGATAAAAGTGGCGAAATCCAGCTATTTTGCCGCTCTTATCATGTCATCAGATAATCGCCCAGCCACCCTATTTAGGGTGACCCTCTCCCTCCTCCATCTGGAAGCACGGGATGACCCCTTGCAGGGTCGAGCTGAGGATTTTGTGCAGTATCTACATGACAAGATCGCTCAGATTCGGGAAGGGCCGGCCTCTGACTGGGTATGTCCGGACGGGATGACTGAGGCAGGTCTTGAGAGCGTTATCTGGGAGGAGTTCGATCCTGTGGCTCCCAAGGACATGGACAAGATCCTGGGACGGCTGAACGTGACCACATGTTCATTGGACCCGTGTCCCTCCTGGTTGATACTGGCTTCCCAGGAGGTTACACGAGGCTGGCTCCAGAGGATTGTTAACGCTTCTCTGAGTGAGAGGGTCCTGCTGGCTGCTTTGAAAGCAGCGGTTGTGAGGCCCCTCCTCAAGAAGCCCCCTCTGGATCCAGCTGTTTTGGCTAACTATCGTCCAGTCTCCAACCTTTGCTTCGTTGCGAAGGTTGTTGAGAGTGTGGTAGCGCAGCAGCTTCCCCGGTACCTGGATGAAGCTGTCTATCTAGACCCGCTCCAGTCCAGTTTCCGACCTGGGTACAGCACAGAAACGGCATTGGTCACGTTGGTTGATGATCTCTGGAAGGCTCGGGATAGGGGTTGCTCCTCTATCCTGGTCCTGTTAGATCTCTCAGCGGCTTTTGATACCATCGACCATGGTATCATGTTGCACCGGTTGAAGGGGCTGGGGGTGGGGGGCACCGTTCTGCGGTGGTTCTCCTCCTACCTCTCTGACCGGTCGCAATCTGTGCTGACATGGGAGCAGCGGTCGACCCCGAGGCGCCTTGCTTGTGGGGTGCCACAAGGGTCGGTCCTCTCACCCCTTCTGTTCAACATTTATGTAAAGCCACTGGGCGAGATCATCGGTGGCTTCGGGATGGAGTTCCATCAGTACGTTGACGACACCCAGCTGTACATCTCCACCCCAAGCCACCCCAACGATGCCCTTGAAGTGATATCCCAGTGCCTGGAGGCTGTGCGGGCCTGGATGGGGAGAAACAGGCTGTGTGCTTCCGGCATCCCGATATAGCCAGCTGGTGCCATCACTGGCTATTGGGGGCGAATCATTGGCCCCCACGGAGAGGGCTCGCAACTTGGGCGTCCTCCTGGATGCACGGCTGTCTTTAGAAGAGCATATGACCGCCGTGGCCGGGGGGGCTTTTTATCAGGTTCGCCTGATACGCCAGTTGCGTCCCTTTCTAGATCGGGACTCCCTACGCACGGTCACTCAGGCACTCGTCACCTCCCGCCTGGACTACTGCAATGCTCTCTACATGGGGCTCCCCTTGGGGTACACCCGGAGGCTCCAGCTGGTCCAGAATGCGGCCGCACGGGGGATTATGGGAGCGATGGGGTGCTCCCACGTGACACCTCTCCTGCGCGAGCTGCAATGGCTCCCGGTGGTCTTCCGGGTGCGCTTCAAGGCGTTGGTGACCACCTTTAAAGCGCTCCATAGCTTAGGGCCGGGGTATTTACGAGACCGCCTTCTGCCACCAATAGCCTCCCACCAGCCAGTACGCTCGCACAGAGAGGGCCTCCTCAGGGTGCCGTCCGCCAAACAGTGTCGGCTGGCGACCCCTAGGGGGAGAGCCTTCTCTGTGGCAGTGCCCACCCTCTGGAACAACCTCCCCCCCAGAGATACGTACAATACCAGACCTCCAGACTTTTTGTCGGGCCCTAAAAACTTATTTATTTCACCTAGCCGGGCTGGCTTGACCCCATAGTTTTGGTTAATTTTAAATTGATTTTAATTGGGTTTGTTTTAAATTGCGGCCAAAAATATTTAATTATTTTAAAATTGTTTTTTAAATTTTGTATGTTCTGTTTTGTTCTGGCTGTTCACCACCCTGAGTCCTGTTGGAGAAGGGCGGTATACAAATTAAAACAAATAAAATAAATAAATAAATAGAGAGGAATCCCTTTTGTCTGAATATTCTGATAAATTGTAATAAAATGAACTTCCTGTCCCGGTTTGTCTCTTTGGAAAATATGCATGTCAAGGTACGAGCCCGAAAAAGCCATATTTGGCCTTCAGTATTCATGATCTACAGGAATAACGAAGGGTGGGAAGTTTCAACTCAAGGACTCATTTCAAGCCACTTTTAATGGCTGTTCTTCCTCCCAAAAATGCCACGCTGCCCTTTAATAACATTTAAAAAATTGAAACCCAATTCCTTCATGCTTCTTTCAAGGGGCCATTTTTACGGAATTACATATAGACTGAAGGACTTCTCGCTGCCTTGCGGAAAACGAACCAGATTCTCTTTTAAGCCTTTAACTCCGTCCTCCATCTTTGCCCAGCGTCTCATTTTTGAGCTTCTAAACAGAGTCCCGGGAATCTTGACACTCGAGGCACGCTTCTTCCCCTTAACAGGGAAAAGCGCCGGGAAGAAGATATCCGACTTACCCTTCCCCTCCTCAGCCGCCCAGTCCCGCGAACAAGCCATCCCGTCAGGGATGTAGGTACAGCAATTTCTCCCCAAAGCGCCGCCTTCCAGCCTTGGATTGGCGCCTATACCAATAGGAAGCGGTAAGGCGTCTCCCTTCCCCGAACTCCTCCTTCTTCCCTGGCCCAAAGTATGTCGGGAGCGGCCGTCTTTTGGTTCACCAGCGGGCTCCGCGAAGAAGAGCTGCAAGAAGGATAGGCGTGTCTTTCGGGGTGGCTGGTGAGCAAAATACTCCGTTTCCCAGCATGCAGAGGGGCCCTGAAGATTCGGTGGGGTGGAGACGGAGCTCGCTGTCACTGTCTCAGAGCTCGAGCTGGTTTAGTCAATCAGAACAATGACTTCTCCGCTGAAGGCTGCGGAGCGAAGCTGAGCCGCGCGCAAAAGCAATCACGCCTGTATTACCGCTGGCCGCTGGGCGAGGAGGAGAGAGTTATTGGCAACGGCAGCAGTTGCTGCTGTTTTTTTGAGCTGGAGAGGATCTGCAGCTGTTTCTGGTATTGTTTGCAAAAAGAGGACCAAAAGGCACACTCATGTGGATTCCTACAGAGCACGAGAAATACGGAGTCGGTGAGTGACATCTCCCTTCGGCATTTGATGCCTCTCTGTCCTCTCTGCCATCCCCGGGGCTGTTCTGTGGGGCTCGGAAAATAGACCAGGGAGGAATCTCCGTTCGTACACTCTATCCTTTGCTCCCGCACTAGTTCCTAGCTTTGATCAGAGCAATTCTGTATTTTTCTACTGTGCTGTCCAGAAAGACGTTTAAGGTTTCGAGAGAAAGAGTGTGTACTGTATTGGTTTCGTCGTCGCCGCTTTCTCGCAGTTTCCCCTTCCTGCTTTTTGCCTCCCCTGTCCCCGAAGTGTCGTTTGGACAGCTTTTGGTTTTAAAAATGTAGAATAAATAAAAAAGAGGAGAGATAATTTATTCAATTGCAGTAGTGGTTACTAGTTGTCGTGGGGAGAGACTAATTGCTTTTTGGAATACTGTATTGGAAGATGCTTTTAACCGAGCGTCCGATTTAACCGCATCTTTCAAAGGTCCACTGAATCCGCGTCCAGAAAAAGCAGTCTAAGCAATGCCGGGATGCTGTTAAAAATCTGTGGCTTTGGTTGTCGAGTGTCATTGCAACTTAAAACTGCCACCTCCTTTGTAAATCGTAAACAACACCAACGTACGGTTGAATGTGGTGTGTGTTTAGTTTAAAATCGGATAGTAGCCTACTTCTAATGCTGGTGATGTTTTTGTTCTGCTTTTTTTAATACAAAAGTGTTTGCCTTACACAAGAAAACAGACTGGGCATTGTCAAGGAAGTTACAGGGCAGAGCATAAAAAAGCTGTTTATATCGTCTTTTGTTCAAAAGATGAACAACAAAGAACATTAGATGTTGACTGATGGATGTGGAATTTCACATCCTTCTCTGTTCACCCATCTGCTGAATACTTAAAACCACTTACTCCTTTTATTCTTTTTCTATTCTGATACCGGGTTTCCTCGAAAATAAGACCCTGTCTTATATTTTCTGAACCCTGAAATAAGCGCTTGACCTTATTGCCATGCACTCAAAAACCCGATTGGGCTTATTATCAGGGGATGTCTTATTTTGGGGAAAACAGGGTACTTATCTGATACTGATTCTGAAACTGTCAAAAAATAATAATACAATCATGTAACTAAGCTTTTTTAAATCTGGGAACCTGTGATAACACTTTCTACCATATATTTTTTATTCAGATAAAAAATAATTGAAAGACCAAGAGCATAAACTTTAATTCATAAACTGGTTTTTTTGTTGTTGTTGTTTTTTTGCTAGATTAATTTTCTATTTCTGGCTTGGAGCTGGAGTGCAGATACTTTTCGGCTGATAAGCAAAGTAATGAATCCCAGACTATTTACATGGAAGTAAACCCTACTAGAAAAATTAGCTTCTTGATAAACATACATAGGATTGAATTAGAATAATGCTTCTTGTTTTTAAAGTCTTCTGAAAAACAAAGATATCAATATTTGCACAAAATAGCTAGTGAAAGGCATGACAAAAATATTAGAAATTAGAGATATGCCACACTGTTGAATAGTGTATTGGACAAAACAATTAAAACAAAAATGCAAATACTTCCCTATATGATATCACATGCTTAATAAATAGTAGGAGGAAATACAGGTTCCGCACAATTAACATTCTTAAAATTGATCCCAGATGTTGTTTCTGATCCAAATATTAATTTACAAAGTTCATTAATAGATTTTCTTGATTTCTGTCTAGATATTGATTATGATTACTGCAACAATGTATAGATTTTTCAAAACCATTCTAGTATATAATGGAACAGCATGTGTAATATTGGTGGTCAAATATTTCAAGTTATAAAAACCTTGCTTTTTTTAAGGGAAAATAAAGACAAAAATATCAAATAACATTTTTATTAGAAGGTTATTTTAGCTGCATGGAAAAGAAAAGTAACATGCTGAACAATAACTACAAAATTAATCTGATTGACTATGTATATGTATGTGTTTCTGTGTGTATATATATTCAGCCTGATTCCACAGTTGTTGAAATTCATTTTTTTCTCATTAATCTATATCTTGTACCCCATAATGACAAAGTGAAAACAGAATTTTAGAAATGCCTGTAAATTTATTAAAAAGAAAAAAATAAAATATCTCATTGGTATAAGTATTCAGATCCTTTGCAACAACATTTGAAATTTAGCTCATGTGCCTCCCATTTCTCTTGATCCTCGCTGACAGGTTTCTACACCTTGATTGGAATCAACCTGTGGTAAATTAAATTGATTGGACACGATTTGGAAAGGCACACACACATTATAAAAGGCCTCACAACTGACAATGCATACTATAGCAGAGCAAAAGCCATGAGGTCAAAGGAACTGCCTGCAGAGTTCAGAGACACGATTATAGCAAGGCACAGATCTGGGGAAAGGTACAATAAAATTTCTGCTGCACTGAAGAGTCCTAAAAGCACAGTGGCCTTCATAATTCTCAAACGGAAGAAGTTTGGCACAACCAGGACTCTTCCAAGAGCTAGTCACCTGGTCTACCTGAGCAGTTGGAGAAGAAGAGCCTTAGTAAGACAGGTGACCAAGAACCCAATGGTCACTCTGGCTGAGCTCTAGAGATCCTGTACGGAAGTGAGACAGAATTTCAGAAGGGCAACACTGCAGCCTTCCACCGATCTGGGCTTTATGGCAGAGTGGCTAGACAGAAGCCTCTCCTCAGTGCAAAACACATGAAACCCCACTTGGAATTTGCAAAAAAGCACCTGAAGAACTCTCAGATTGTGAGAAACAAGATTCTCTGGTCTGATGAACCAAGATTGAACTGTTTGGCCTCAATTCTAAACATTATGTCTGGAGGAAACCAGGCACTGCTCATCACCTGCTCAATATCCTCCCAACACTGAAGCATGGTGCAGGGCAGCATCATGCTGTGGGGGTGTTTTTCAGCAGCAGAGACTGGGAGAATGGTTATAGTTGAGGGAAATCTGAATGGAGTAAAGTACAGGGATATCCTCAATGAAAACCTGTTCCACAACGTTCAGGATCTCAGACCGGGCCAAAGGTTCACTTTCCAACATGACAGGGATCCTAAGCACACAGCCAAGACAACACAGGAATGGCTTAGGGACAACTCTGTGAATGTCCTGGAGTGGCCCAGACAGAGCCCTGATTTGAACCCTATTGAACATCTCTGGAGGGACCTGAAAATGGCTGTCCACTGATGGTTGCCATCTAACCTGATTGAGTTTGAGAGGGTTTGCAAGGAAGAATGGCAGAAAATCCCCCAATCCACGTGTACAAAGCTTGTTGCATCATATCCAAAAAGACTGTAGGCCCGTGATGGCGAACTTATGGCATGCGTGCCACCTGTGGCCATATCAGTGGGCACACGAGCTCAGTTCTGGCATGCATGCGCGTGCCAGCCAGCTGATTTTCGGGCCTTCTGGGCCCACCAGAAGTAGGGAAACAGGCTGTTTCCTGCCTTCAGAAGGTCTCGGGGGTGGTGGGGAAGGCCCGATTTTCTCTCTCACCTGGCTCCAGAGCCTTTCTAGGAGTCTCAGGAGGGTGAAAATGGCCTTCCTCACCCCCCCCAGAGGTCCTCCAGAGGCCAGAAACGGCCCATTTGCCAAATTCCAGTGGGACCCCCGCCCCCCCCTCCTGGCACGCAATGGCAAAAAGGTTAGCCATCACTTCTCTAGGCTGTAATTGCTGCCAAAGGTGCTTCAACAAAGTACTGAGTGAAGGGTCTGAATAGTTATGCTAATGTGATATTTCAGTTTTTTTCTTTTTAATAAATTAACAGACATTTCTAAAATTTTGTTTTCACTTTGTCATTATGGGGTATTGAGTGTAGTTTAATGAGAAAAAAATGAATTATAATAACTGTAGAAGCAGGCTGCAGCATAGCAAAATTGACAGAAGTGAAGGAGAGCTGAATACTTTCTGAATGCACTATATATTCAGTATGTTGCTCCTTCTCTAGATATAATTATATTTTCTATGGAAGAATATCAATTTTACTAAACTATTATCCATCTAATATTGAAGCCTGACATGCATTTTAATGAAAAACAAATACAGTATTTTTGAACTTGCCTTTACATATTTAAATATTGATGTCAGCACTTCAAGCTGCATTTACTCTAGTGCTGACATAAGAAGGAGAAGGGAGGTGTCTGGAAAGGGACGTTTGACTTTTCACCTACTTATTTTCCCTGGAGATAATATCCCCTAGGAGATGGGATGGGAGGGGGAAATTCCTTTGAGCTGGAGCAGTAGATTAGGGGTAGAATGACTTGGAAGATGGCCAATGAGTGCAGGGGAGTGGGGAACGGAAAGGGAGGGTTTTGGGTCTGGAAGTCAGTGTTGGCTTCAATGGAGTCGGATTTTAGAATGTCGTGCTTAATCAATAGGAGTTTTCCTTCAAAGACTTTGTTTGAAATGCAATTTATTTGAGACGACCTCGAAACCTGACAGAAAGCCAACACTCCTTTCCAAGCCAAACTGGCTGACCTCCAGATCTCCAGCTCCCTGCCAGATGTATGGAGTGAGTGGAGAAGAAGTCCGGACGTCATGGCAGAAAGCAAACTGTCCGAAGAGAGTTTAATTCAGGCAACTGGAAAAGAGCCAATCTTGATCCCAGCCAGTTTGGATGCTATGGACCCTCAACCCCTCCCTCCTCCAGCGAAGCTGCAAGACAGCCAAGGTCAGACGATCGTGCCACAAACCAAGAAAAAAAAAAAGATGAGTATTGGTGGGCTTTGCCAAAATCTGCAGAAGCTGAGTTTCCCTTCCTGAACGCGCAAGGGAAGGGGAAACCCCTGAGTGAATTGGGGAGGGCAGACTGGCTATGGGATTGGCAGCAGGCCAGGCACCAAAAAGCTTCAGGGAAACCACTCGAGAGCCCCATAGACGAATTGAAGGAGAAATTTGACCGTGCCATCATTCAAGAGGAGGGGCCATCATGCAGGCCAGAGGAGAAGGGAGAGCCAGTTTGGTCTGCTGAACCGAGAGGCCGTAGACTGAAGCACAGCCCTCCCCCCTCCCA